TGTTGACCAGGATGGTCTCGATCTCTTGACCTCATGATCCACCCGCCTCGGCCTCCCAAAGTGCTGGGATTACAGGCTTGAGCCACCGCGCCCGGCCTTAATTTTTTATTTTTGTAGAAAAGGGGTCTCGCTTTGTTGCCCAGACTGGTCTCAAACTCCTGCACTTAAGTGATCCTCCTGCCTCAGCCTTCCAAAGTTCTGGGATTACAAGCATGAGCTAACACGTCCAACATGAACTTTTTTTTAATATTAATTTAACTGGCATTTTAAGTCACACTTGAATTTCATATTTAGCAACTATTAAAAGCATAGAATCCTGGATATTAGTGTTTTGTTAAACCTGATCTGTCTAACCATAAATATACTTAGACCTAAAATGTGACCTTGGCCTTTTTAATTGAGATTCAGTGTTTGTTACTATATGAAATAGAATATTTGGTTTGAGATACTAATGAAAAGATTAAAAGTAAAGAATAACTTGAATGGATACAAAAAGAAACAAGAATTTAGACTTCTGTAAATTTCAGAGAATACTACTTTGATACGCTAGCATTTCTCTTGGATGTCCAACCATGTCATAGATCAGTGGAAATCAAGTGGTTTTTGCACTCTGTACTGCTTTTTATATGATAATATTTTCCTGGTTGAACAGTTTGTTCTGCTGAGTAAACTCCATGTCAAACAATTACTTTTTATTAGTCAAAGATGTAACTATATAATCACTAAAAAGAACAGTGTGACTTCTTGAAAGGGGATTATGTTTTTAAGTCTTACATAGCTCTGTAGGGGGGCCATATGAGTTTAAGGACAGTTCATGGCATTTGTTCAAGGTTTTGTAATAGGGCATTTCAGCAACCACCAGGGTACCAGATCATCCTTCTTTTTTTTTTTTTGAGACGGAGTTTCACTCTTGTTACCCAGGCTGGAGTGCAATGGCGCTATCTCTGCTCACCGCAACCTCCGCCTCCTGGGTTCAGGCAAGTCTCCTGCCTCAACCTCCTGAGTAGCTGGGATTACAGGCACGCACCACCATGCCCAGCTAATGTTTTGTATTTTTAGTAGAGATGGGGTTTCACCATGTTGACCAGGATGGTCTCGATCTCTTGACCTTGTGATCCACCTGCCTTGGCCTCCCAAAGTGCTGGGATTACAGGCTTGAGCCACCACGCCCAGATCATCCTTCTAAGTAAGATGTAGGCTTTTTTTTTTTTTTTTTTTTTTGAGATAAGGTTTCGTTCTTGTTGCCCAGGTCTCGGCCTGCTACAACCTCCACCTCCCAGGTTTAAGTGATTCTCCTGCCTCAGCCTTCCAAGTAGCTGGGATTACAGTCATGCGCCACCACGCCTGGCTAATTTTGTACTTTTAGTAGAGATGGGGTTTCTCCATGCTGGTCAGGCTGGTCTTGAACTCCTGACCTCAGGTGATCCACCCTCCTCAGCCTCCCAAAGTGCTAGGATTACAGGTGTGAGCCACCTGGCCCGGCAAGATTTGGGCATGTTAGCCTTCATGTACAGACTATAAGTAACCCCCCTCCAAGGAAAAACAGTAGTAAATTGAAATGATGTTTGAAAAAGTGTAGAATTTCTGTTAGGTGAAGGTAGCTTATTCCTTGTGATACAGTTTCAGAGAGGCAACATAACCTAGAAATGAAAAACTTAGACATGGAATCAGATACACCTGGTTTAAATAGCTCTACTGCTCATGAACTGGATGATTTTGGTCAAGATATTTGAATGCTAAGGTTCAGTTTCCTCACCTTTAAAGTAGAAGTGATGGATTAGACATGTTGCATGTGAAGTACTTAGTATAGTGTCTGGTTTTATAGTAAGACCTATAAAAGATATGTTATTAGTCGTATTTTTTAGGCTTCAGGAAATTATCTCTGTGACATGTTTGAGGCAAACAAAGAATTAGAATATTAGAAGTGAAAGGAATCCTAGAGGTCATTTGATTCAAGTCACTGTTTTCTGGATGAGAGAAGAAAGTAAGGAAAGTGACGGAGTTGGAGACCAAGCTAGGACCAGCCTCAGTGTTAAAACTGCTCTTCTAGGAATGGACCAGTAATATTGCTAGACTTTTTGGACCTGAATTGTGGTTTTCCTTGAATGTTTTGAATTTTAGCTTGAGTGTTGTGATTATTTTATTAAAATGAGATTCCAGTCCTCTTGTCATGACTCATGTTTATGAGGAAATATAACATTTCACTTTAATGATTTTTTTTTTTTTTTTTTTTTTTTTTTGAGACGGAGTCTCACTCTGTTGCCCAGGCTGGAGTGCAGTGGAAACGATCTCGGCTCACTGCATCCTCTGCCTCCCAGGTTCAAGTGATTCTTCTGCCTCAGCCTTCCGAGTGGCTGGGATTACAGGATTCCACCACCACACCTGGCTAATTTTTGTATTTTTAGTAGAAATGGGGTTTCACTGTGTTGGTTAGGCTGGTCTTGAACTCCTGACCTTGTGATCTGCCCGCCTTGGCCTCCCACAGTGCTGGGATTATAGGCGTGAGCCATCATACCTGGCTAATGATGTTTTTAAACTATTCTAAGGGGCCTAATCTTTTTCAGTGGAATAAGCTTTAGGTTGTATTATGTTCTAAAAATCACTTGAAACTAGAGTTCACCTTACTGGAAATTACTTGACAGCCGATTTTTGTGTACTGCATCTTTTCTGAGGGAGAGAGTTGGCAGGGAAAGGCACTTGTTATAACAGTCCACACATAGACACATATTATTTAGAAATGAAAGCGCTTTGAATGAATTATTTTCAATTTTTGAATTGAATTATTTTCATTTTTTTTTCCTACAATTGTAATTATGTGACCTGTTTTTCTTTTTTCTTTTTCTTTTTTGAGACAGAGTCTCGCTCTATCGCCCAGGCTGTAGTGCAATGGTGCGGTCGCGGCTCACTGCAATCTCTGCCTCCTGGGTTCAAGCAGTTCTCCTGCCTCAGCCTCCCGAGTAGCTGGGACTACAGGCACATGCCACAACACCTGGCTAATCTGTGTATTTTTAATAGAGACTGGGTCTTGCCATGTTGACCTGGCTGGTCTCAAACTCCTGACCTCATTATCTGCCTTCCTTGGCCTCCCAAAGTGCTGGGATTATAGGCATGAGCCACTGTGCCCGGCCCATATGACCTGTTTTTCTTTTATAGATGGGGGTGAAATATGGGAATTGACTTGGTGTCAGTCAACTGTTTTGGTTAAATCAAGAACATAATCTGTATTTTGCTTCTGTGAGTAGCTCTTTATAACAGTGATTGGTTACTTTGGGAGTAAAAATTATTATTTAGAGACAGGGTCTTGCTCTGTTGCTCAGGCTAGACTGTAGTGACAATGATCATAGCCCACTGTAGCCTCAAACTCCTGGACTCTGGTGATCCTGCCTCAGCCTCCTCGGTAGCTAGGAAGTGCATGCCACCATGCCTGGCTATGATTATTATTAATTTACATTTAACATTAGTTTTTTTTTTTTTTCTTTCAGTAGGCTATTTTACTTTATTTGATTTTGATAAAGTTTGACTCTTTCTAGTTTCCTTCCTTCTGTGACCCCTACCTATTCTGAGTCTCCAGGCCAGCAGTGTACAGGTAGAGCCATCCTTAGGTAGCCTTTAGACTTAATATTAGGTGAGCTCTCCCCACAGATAGCCCTCCTTCATTTGAATTGAATTATATTTTAAGTTTGAAAATATTTTTCAGCTTATCTAGCCTGTTGAATTTAATAAGAATAATATTTAATCTTTTCAGAGGTCGAAACAGTAACAAAGGATTGCCTCAGTCTACGGTGAGTAACTTTAATGTTACTTATTGGGGAAAATTAGTAGCCAAAACATGGTATTTAACCACAGACCAAATGCCAAGGCAAAAAAAATCCCTTCTCTTGAATTTTATTACAGATAACTTGACTGTTGAAGTATAATGTTCTTAGCCTATATGTGTTGCTTTTTATGACTCTATATATAAAATGTAAAATTATTTGTTGTATTAGTTCATTCACACACTGCTAATAAAGATATACCCAAAATTGGGTAATATATAAGGAAAGAGGCTCAGGAAGCTTACAATCATGGTGGAAAGGGAAGCAAACACATCCTTCTCATGGTGGCTGGAAAGAGAAGTGCTGACTAAAGGGGAGAGAAAGCTCCTTATAAAACTGTCAGATCTCCTGAGAACTCACTATCATGAGAGCAGCATGGGGGAAATGGCCCCCATGATTCAGTTATCTCCACCTGGTCCTGCCCTTGACACATGGGGATTATTACAATTCAAGATGAGATTTGGGTGGGGACACAGAACCAAACCATATCATTTGTAAATAGTACTTTTGTCATGTGTAATAGTAACAAGTCATTTGTTCTTTTCTAAAGAACCAAGGTGCCAATCTAAGTGAAAAACCTCCAAAAGATGTATAGAATGCCTAGAGTGGAGTTTGCAGAGTTCTTTTTTTTTTTTTTTTTGAGACGGAGTTTCGCTGTTGTTACCCAGGCTGGAGTGCAATGGCGCGATCTTGGCTCACCGCAACCTCCGCCTCCTGGGTTCAGGCAATTCTCCTGCCTCAGCCTCCTGAGTAGCTGGGATTACAGGCATGTGCTACCATGCCCAGCTAATTTTTTTTGTATTTTTAGTAGAGACGGGGTTTCACCATGTTGACCAGGATGGTCTCGATCTCTTGACCTTGTGATCCACCCGCCTCGGCCTTCCAAAGTTCTGGGATTACAGGCGTGAGCCACGGTGCTCGGCCTTGCAGAGTTCTTCATGCTTTTCATATTGAGTTAATGTGCATTTTTTCTGCTGCTTTCATTTTTCTCCTTTGGTGTTCTGGTCTTAAATTTTGGAACATTATCAATGAAATTGAACCAGACATGAAGGGCAGAAGGTATAAGTTCCACATGATGGAAGAAATAAATGAGAAATTATCACTAATTTTTGAGACTTTTCCTTTATTAGACAGATTGTTTTATGAGAATCGGGAAGACACACACATAGTAGTAATATGGAATAGTGTGGTTAATCAGACTTAAGCACTGTTACTGATGCAGGTATGCTGGGAGAACCTGGTCAGGGTTCTGTGAAGGTCTACCCTGGCTTCCTACCCCATTTATTTATACTTCACCCTTCTTAATGTACATATACTTTTGAGAGATTTAACAAATGCATACAATCAGAGTAACTACCACCACAATCAAGGTAATAGAACAGTTTCATTGCCACCAAAATCCCTCAAATCACTTTTTAGTGAACCTCTTCTCTCTCCAACCATTAATTTGTCTTCTATATCTTTATGGTTTGTGTCTTTTCACCTCTGTGGAAGTTTACTTCTGCTTTTTTGTGTCACATGTAGTCAAAATGTTGTTAGTTGGTATGACTGATAACACTTGAAAACGTGACCTTCTATTCTCTACGGAAGCAAAATATTAAATAAACAAAATATTCCTTTAATTCACATAAGCTATCATAAATCTAGCAAAACATTTTGCAACAAAATAAACGTTAACTTTATATGCAAGTATAAATAGAGGTTGAGCGTCCCAAATTGGAAATGCGCCAATATTTCACATTTTGATATAGGAATGTTCAAGTATTAAGTATAATGCAGATATCCCCAAATCCAGAAAAATCCTCAGTCTGAAATACTGCTGGTCCCAAGCATTTTAGATAAGAAGGATTCAATTTGTACTAATTTCTAATAGTCTTTTTTTTTTTTTTTTTTTTTAATATTCCAGATTTCTTTTGATGGAATCTATGCAAATATGAGGATGGTTCATATACTTACATCAGTTGTTGTAAGTTATTAGATTGTTGGGGATAAACTGCCTTGGGGGTAGAATAAAGTCAGTCCATGAGTTTAAAATATGGATAAATGATTTTCAAAGTAGCATTGCTTAGATCATGTTTAGTCAGGATGATTTAGAGAAATAGATTAGAACTCCCTTTATCCAGTCTAATATAACTAATTGTAAAAGTACAGTTGGCCCTCTGCATCTGTGGGTTTCATATTTATGGATTCAACCTTGGATCAAAATACGTGAGAAAAAGGCCAGGCACAGTGACTCACGCCTGTAATCCTAGCACTTTGGGAGTTTAAGGTGGGCAGATCACTTCAGCTCACGAGTTTGAGACCAGCCTCGGCAACATGGCAGAATTCCGTCTCTACAAAAAGTGAAAAACGAGCTGGGCATGGTGGTGCGTGCCTGTAGTCCCAGCGACTTGGGAGGCTGAGGTGGGAGGATTGTTTGAGCCTCGGAGGTGGAGGTTTCAGCAAGCTAAGATCATGCCACTGTACTCCAGCCTGGGCAATAGAACCAGATCCCGTCTGAGATAAAAAATTTTTTTTTGAGAAAAAAGATGTATGATCACACCTGAACCAAAGATGTACAGATGTTTTTCTTGTCATTCTTCTCAAAACTATACGGTATGACAACTATTTACATAGCATTTACATTGTATTAGGTATTATAAATAATTTAGAGATAAAGTATTTAGGAGAATGTGCTTAGTTATATGCAAATACTATTATATTTTACATAAGTGACTTAAGTGTTGTACAGTTGGTATCTGAAGGAGGTCCTGGAACTCCACCTATAACAACAGACATCTGTATTCTTGTTAACCCTGCTGTGTGTGTAATAATAATAGTAGTTGATTGTCTTTTGTACGTTGTTTTGTCACTTAAAGTAGCTGGAGTCAGAAATGTTTGATTTCAGTGTTAAATTTGTACTGCAAACTCTTGCGTAGAGCCTCCTGAAGAGTTTTGAAAGTTCAGTGTGTTGTTAATGTTTTGAAATTTTTTAATCGTTTTGTTAGTAAATACCTAATATTGAATGAAGCCTGATGAGGTATAAAAAGTAAAATGAAAACAATTATCTTTGGTGACTGGGTAATATACTGTTTTTTTGATAAATTATATGTTTTTAGGGCTCCAAATGTGAAGTACAAGTGAAAAATGGAGGTATATATGAAGGAGTTTTCAAAACATACAGTCCTAAGGTAATTTTTACTTTTTTTTCTTTTTCTTACTTTGTAAAAGAACATTTTCATAGTCAGTGCTTTACCTGGTTTTTAAAGCCGCTTGGAATGATTTTACTCCTCAGTTTCAAATACTGATTATTTTATAGACTGGTTTGTGTAATCAGAAAGACTTCTTGATGTATGTGCTTATTAAACTATGTCAACCATTTTTTAAGCATTGGGACTAATGGAGGATGTGGTGGTTTATTTTTTCCTCTTTTAAAAAATTATTATTAATGTACTTAAGACAGACCATAGCACCAAAAAACATTTAGATGTGAGGATTTTTAAATGATGGAATGGAAAATAGATCATATGTCAGGGAAAAAAGGTATGATTATCAGGTTCTCTTGAGATTATTTTTGTCAAAGGCATATAAGAACTGGTATCTTGATGAGCTAAATAATTTCTAACAAATTTTATTTTGTAAATGTTTTGAATACTTACTTGTGTTTTTCATTTTAGTGTGATTTGGTACTTGATGCTGCACATGAGAAAAGTACAGAATCCAGTTCGGGGCCAAAACGTGAAGAAATAATGGAGAGTATTTTGTTCAAATGTTCAGACTTTGTTGTGGTACAGTTTAAAGATATGGACTCCAGTTATGCAAAAAGAGGTGGGTTTTGATTTTCTAAATATGGTTTACTAGATTTATTCAAGCATAGATTTCCGCAGTGATCCTACAAACTTACTTTTTTTTTTTTTTTTAAAGAAATATCTGGGCCGGGCCTGGTGGCTCATGCCTGTAATCCCAGCACTTTGGGAGGCCGAGGCAGGTGGATCTCACCTGAGATCAGGAGTTCAAGACCAGCCTAGCCAACGTGGTGAAACCCCATCTCTACTAAAAATATAAAAATTAGCTGTATGTGGTGGTATGCTCCTCTAGTCCCAGCTACCAGAAAGGCTGAGACAAAATTACTTGAATGCAGGAGGTAGAGGTTGCAGTGAGCCAAGATCACACCACTGCACTCCAGCCTGGGCAACAGAGCAAGACTCAGTCTTAAAAAAAAAAAAAAAAAAAAGACCTGCTTTCTAGAATAACCCAAGTAAGACAGTTTTTTAGAAAAATGGGAATTTTAATGCATTTTTGTTAGAAAACATTTAAAACTTTAGAGAAAAATAGAGTTTTAGTGATCTCTTAAATAGTTTGTAAAGCATTTTCTACAGTGGTGTGGTCAAGAATGCTACTGATTATATTCAGCTGAAAATCCTTGTCCCATTTGGCCTATAATGCTTTAGTTTATAAATGGGCATGTGGCTAATCTGGAAAGAAATCAAGGCATAGAGCTAAGGAAGAAAGGTAGAGAATGGTTGATAGAAAACAATTGTGTAATGAAAATGAAAAAGGGTAAAGAAGTAGAACGTGTATTTAAAAAACATTCAGAGAATGAGACGATGTTTTGAGAATTTAAAAGCGATTATGTAGGTATATTAAAAATGTAGTCTCACCAGGTGCCGTGGCTCATGCCTGTAATCCCAGCACTTTGGGAGGCCTAGGTGGGCGGATCACGAGGTCAAGAGATTGAGATCATCCTGGCCAACATGGTGAAACCCCGTCTCTACTAAAAATACAAAAAAATTAGCTGGGTGTGGTGGCACGAGCCTGTAGTCTCAGCTACTCGGGAGGCTGAGGTGGGAGAATTGCTTGAACCCGGGAGGTGGAGGTTGCAGTGAGCCAAGATTGCACCACTACACTCTAGCCTGGCGCCTGGTGACGGAGTGAGACTCTGTCTCAAAAAAAAATGTAGTCTCTTTTTAAGTGTCCATTGAGGAACACAGTGGGAATTCCTGTTACTCACTTGCAAGGCATTATTGAGCGTTCAGTAACATGTTGTAAGGCCCACTTCTGGGCAATCTTAACTTGGTTCTAAAATTCTTTTTTTTTTTTTTTTTTTTTTTTTTTTGGGATGGAGTTTCGCTCTTGTTGCCTAGGCTGGAGTGCAGTGGCGTGATCTCACCGCAACCTTCACCTCCTGGGTTTAAGTGATTCTCCTGCCTCAGCCTCCTGAGTAGCGGGGATTACAGGCATGTGCCACCACGGCTGGCTAATTTTGTATTTTTAGTAGAGATGGGGTTTCTCCATGTCGTTCAGGCTGGTCTTGAACTACTGACCTCAGGTGATCCATTGCGCCCAGCCCTAAGATTTTTATTTGTTTATGCCGAATTCTGTAGTGAAATATGTAATTCTGGTGTAAATTGTAATTCAGTGCAATTTGATTTTTACTATTTAAACCTCATCAAAAGCTGTTTTTATTGTTGGGCTGATTATTCTACACTGTTACTTGGAAATAATAATATACCAGAAGTCTTTCTCTTTGCAAGGTTCTCATCTGTTAGTTGACTTGCTTTTTCAGAGGCTAACAGTACTGAGTATTCTTAACTGTCTTGAAATGCTATTGAAAGCACAGTCTTCTGTTTTTGAATGTTCTCAAATGTCCTTGTGTTTGATTCACAACTCTTTGTCTTAAGAGGCCTTCAGCATCCCATCTAAGGAAACAAGTCTTTTTTTAGTTGCTACCTTTGGAGTTGATCTTGTTTATGCTTAGGAGCACTAAATTGTTTATACTTATACTATTGAAATATTCCACTGTTATAAATTCAAAAGTTGACTTTGGAAAGATAAAATTTTAGTTTAGTTTAATACATAGCACTCTGGAAAGAGTATTGGCCACAACAACAACAAAAAATGTTCTCTGCTCTATTGGGTACCAGGTCATTTAACTAACAGCCATTTACTTTATATGTTATCTTTCTGTTTTTATGATGAATTGGTGTTTCTCAAATGTGGAAGAGTGAATATTACTTTGAGATGTTTGTGATAGTCCATTCCTTGCTCCTTTTAAAAATTAATGTCATTACATTTTTATTGCTTTTATTATATCTTCATTTCTCAGATAATTTTAGTTCATTATAAAAGGCAAGAAAATCTCACTGTACTCATAAGGGGATGAGGGCATTTACAAAATTAGTTTTCTTGATTAGGACATCCAATATTGGAGTATTTTCAGGTGTCTTATTTCAAGACTTATAGTGGTTTAGTGAATTATACAATTATATGAAGTGCATAATATCCTGAAAATAGTATTAAGTCATGCATTTAGGACTTCAGGTATCCTAAGCTAAGTTAAGACTATCCAGGCAAAAGTTGCCCTCTCTATAAAAGAAAAAAAGTATTAATTTGGAAATACTGTTAGTACGGAGAAATTCGTTTTTGAGTTATTAATTGGCATGGTTTTCTTTTTTCCTTTTTTTTTTTTTGAGACGGAGTCTTGCTCTATTGCCCAGGCTGGAGTGCAGTGGCATGATCTCGGCTCTCTGCCACCTCTGCCTTCTGTGTTCAAGCAATTCTCCTGCCTCAGCCTCCCGAGTAGCTGGGATTATAAGCTCATGCTATAAGCTCATGCCATCTAATGTTTTTTGTATTCTTAGTAGAATCAATGCTTCTGAATGTTGGGTTCACATTTACATTATGTGAAACCCAGGGAGTTTTAAAAAATGTTCTCAGTTCTAGAGATCCTGGTTTAATTACGATTAGTCTGGGTGAGGCTCTGGGCAGTCAGGGATGTGAGCCATAGGTTTCATATGAGATCCCAGGAGTGGCTCTGTTCTGTGGCCTTGAGAATTTGTGGTTTCTAGGCTACGTGCAGTGGCTCACGCCTGTAATCCCATCACTTTGGGAGTCCAAGGTGGGCAGATCATTTGAGGTCAGGAGTTTGAGACCTGCCTGGCCAACATAATGAAACCTCATCTCTACTTAAAAAAATTAAAAAATTATTTGGGCGTGGTGGCACATGTATGTAATCCCAGCTACTTGGGAGGCTGAGGCAGAAGAAACCCTTGAAACTGGGAGGTGGAGGTTGTGAGATCGTGCCACTGTACTCCAGTCCAGGTGACAAGTGAAACCCTGTCTCAAAAAAAGAATTTGTGCCCTTTTTTCTTGTTTTAGAGTCCCTTTTCTGTCTCAGAGTTGGTGACTGCCTGAAATAGTCTCTGCTGTTATCATTTGATAATACTTTTCCACATCTTGAATGGATAGATGGATTGAGTGTTTTTTATAATAGAAGTTGATCAGTGATTGGAGTATACTAATAAGACTTTGTAGTTTCCTAAAGGAGATGAATTGATTTCATTTCTGAGCTTTTATCTTATAATTCTCTTCTGTGATAGTGCTGCTAAATTCTTAAGGTTGATAATATTAACTAAAATTTGAGTGCACATTCTATGTGCCAGAATCTGTGCTAACAGATTTATGTACATTTGTTCACAAAATCATCACAACTTGTTTCCGAAGTAGGTACAGCTATTAGCCACGTCATAGGTGAAGAAACAGAGGCATATTTAAGAAATTTGCTGGCCGGGCGCAGCGGCTAACACCTGTAATCCCAGCACTTTGGGAGGCCAACGCGGGCAGATCACAAGGTCTGGATTTCAAGACCAGCCTGGCCAACATAGTGAAACCCCATGTCTACTCAAAATACAAAAATTAGCTGGATGTGGTGGTGAGTGCCTGTAGTCCCAGCTTCTTGGGAGGCTGAGGTGGAAGAATCGCTTGAACCCAGGAGGGTGGAGGTTGCAGTGAGCCGATACTGAGCCACTGCACTCTAGCCTGGGCGGCAGAGCGAGACTCTATCTAAAAAAAATGTGAAAAACTTGCTAAAGTGAGGACACAGTCTAGCTTTTCCACTCTTAACTCATGTTAACATTATACTGCAGTGACATAAGTTATGTGGTTTGGTTTGTTGTTTAGCCCAGTTGTCGTAAGTCAAGTTAATGTTTGTTTGGTTGGTTTTTTTTTTGAGATGAATCTCGCTCTGTCGCCCAGGGTGGAGTGCAGTAGTACGATCTCGGCTTGCTGCAACCTCTGCCTCCTGCGTTCAAGCGATTCTTCTACCTCAGCCTTCCAAGTACCTGGGATTACAGGCGCTCACCACCACACCTGGCTAATTTTTGTATTTTTAGTAGAGATGGGGTTTACCATATTGGTGAGGCTGGTCTCAGACTTCTGACCTCATGATCTGCCCACCTCTGCTCCGAAAGTGCTGGGATTTATAGGATGAGCCATAGCGCCTGGCTGCGGGGAAAGCTTTTAATGTAAGGTCAGTGTGACTTTTAAGTTCTTGATCATTGATTTCAGTAAATTTTAAAAGTTATACTCATACATATATGCAAATGAACAAGAGGCTTAGAAATGACTTAGTGACTTCTTACAATTAATAAGTTTCATTTGGACTCTTGAATGTTATACATGTGCCAGTTAGATTTATTGACAAACTGAAAGTAGCTTTACATCTTCTGAGCTGTGGGTTCCCTTGACACATTCATAATTAGAAGATTCCATCATATTATCGTTGGAAAATTAGTTTTTTATCTTTTATTTGAATTCCAGTGCAGACGGATCTGAAATTCTCTTCAATTTGCCAGAACTTCTTAGGGCCTTCAGCCACTTTTGGCTTTGTATCTGTATACCTTTGGAATTGGGCTGTTACCTCTGCTTGTTTTTTACTTGATTTTCCATCTATTTCCAGTGTTCCTTCTCTATTTTTTTCCTTCATTTTCTTTCTGTTCTTCTTGTTGCGCTGTTATTCATGTTTCTCTCTTGACTGCAACTCAACTGTA